AGATAGCCCTCGTGTAGCTTTGCGCGAAATTAAAAACAAACAAATCAATAAAACGGACACTATCATCTTTGAAGTTATAAATTTTTCCATTACCAAATAAGAATATTTTCAACAAGTTCGGTTACAATGTTTAATACTCTCTACGTACTAGACACAATAGACTTCGTTACTTCCCGTAGCCAGCTCTATGTCTTTGTTGCAGGAGATGGTTAAATAAGACTGTTGGTAAAAGTATTTAGACACACTACATATTAAGTTTAACACATTGTTTTCTTCTTATTACATTTAACATTGTTGTATGGTAATATTCAGTTCAGGTATCATTTTATTTTTTGTTTATTATTATAAGGCTTCATAAACATTGTTGTTCCGTCAGAAAGTTTCTGTACTGACTTGATATGATTTGTAATGTTACATATGTCTTCAATAGGATTTTTTTTATTTTGATTTGTTATTTATCATTTTAATTTTATTATAAAGATTGTTGTGGATTGTTAGCTTAGAATTTGTATTTGGAACTAATCTAAATATCCTAAGCTGAACGAATCTCATGAGATATTATTGGGATTACGGCCGAAAATATCGTTAACAGCGAAGGTAACCAATCGATGAAACAATGTATTATAATTTTTATGAGTAGAAAGGTAAGAAAAGCGACCAGCTTAATTTTTGGTTCGCTGAAAGCTTACTCTTATTGGAAGTTGTTACTATTTAGATGATATTATTTATGACGATTTTTAGCTATATTGTTAATTGATTAAAATATAATTATTAAATATTTTGTGAAGAATTATTAATTTGAAATAATCATTAACTTTAGATAACAACAAAATTGTCATAGGTAAGTTGTTTTTCTCTTTTTGGATCACCTGAGGTCTTTCAATATGGCTGCGCCCATAAAGATTGCAATGTTAGATAAAATTTCATTCGTCGATTTTGAGCTATAAAAGTGTTTTTGTTTTTATTATTCTTATAACAAGGAATTTAGCTTGTTAAACCTATAGGACAATGGATAAATCTGTTTGTTTTATGTATTATAAGATCTGGTTGTATTATATCTGTAAAATAATATATATGTGTGTGTCTCGTGTATCAAAATAATACTTATCCAGTTAAGAACTTGTTAATTACACACAATCATTTCTCTTCATTTATATTAATTATCTTTTTAGGTATTTTCACTGTCAAGGCAACTACAACGCAGTGTACAGGTGCAACCAGAAAAGTCAGTCAATACGTACTGCTGAGGTTATCAGCGACTGTCGGGAGTTTTCTCAGGGTGGAACTGACAGTGCAGACGATCAAGCAGCTAATAGATACGGGAGAAATGGAGGCAACTGTGCCGCAAAGTACCTTTGTGACGTCAACTGCAAATACAACCCGAATGATGGCACTTGTTCGTCATCAAATTGTTAAAAAAAATAATCTTTACTTTACTTCTATCTTTGAGAATATTTTGGAGTTAGGTTTTTTTAAAAGGAAATATATTTCTGAGTTTTAAGTTTCGAAAAGAAAGTAAATAAATGCATGAAATATCGGAATTATGATTGTTAAAACTATTAGTGTCAATTTCATTTATATAATGCATATATATGTCCCAACTTTTCTTTTACTTCAAATAAAACAAGCTTTACCAAAACACGACGAATGAATAAGACTATTTCTTCGTTTTACATTTATATCGCCCATCTATCTATCTAAGCTGTAGTCATCCTTCGTTGGATGTAGCTCTCCATCAGACCATCCCAGTATTTCCTATTCTTAGCATACCGTGTCCATCTGATTCCTGCTATTTATCTTCTATTTTCACTGTCCTAGGTTGCCATTCCATTGTTCTTAATGTCCACCTATTATCGGAATACCTTGCTACATGTCCAGCCCATTTCCATTTAGTTCTTAGGGTGAATCTTACTGCATCTATTATATCTGTTGTTTTTCTTATTCTTTATTTTCTCCATCTGTCTTGTAGTGTTTTATGAAGTTTTTTCCCCATAGCTCTTTGTGTGGTTTGTATTTTTTTCCTTATCTCTTTTGTTAGTGCCCATGTTTGGCAGTTAAGATTGGTAGTACACACTGATCCATGATCTTTTTCTTCAAAGTAATGGGGATATCTTGATCCTCTAGAATTTCTTTATACATTCCAAAACATCGCCATGTTGCCTTTTCTTCTTACCATAATTTCTTCCCTTGTTGTGTTTTTCCATTTTGAGGGTTTGTCCTAAATATTTGTACTTTGACACTTTCTCTATTTCTTCATTCTCAACTTTAATGGTAGTGTCATGATAGTTGGTCATATATTTGGCTTTTCCCATATGTATTTTTAATCCTGCTTTCTTGCTACTAGCATTCAAACTGCTCAATAGGGCTTCCATCTTTTTTTGTTGAATTTGTAAAGAGAGTGTTCAAGACCAGATGGAGCGTTCTTCACATGGAAGAATGCTGGTTCCGCTTTATGGTTTCAATCCCGTCAGAACGCCTATACCTACCTATAAAATGTCCTACTTAGTCGAAATGTACTTTCCTACAGTAGGACAGCGGTAAGTTTACGGACTTATCACTCTAAAGTCCATGTTTCGATTCCCCCTTTGTGGACACAGCAAATTGCTCAATGTGGTTATGCTATAAAACAAACATAAATAACATCAATGTTTTAATTTATCTAAATAAAACATGAATTACACCATTGTTTTATTCATCTAAATAAAATATGTTACACCATTGTTTTAATTTTCGTCTAAAAATATTTTGTTCTTTTCCAAAAATAAAACTATATTTTTAGAGGTAAACAGTGGGATGAACATGATAATATACCGTTTTAAAAACATGTTTTTACACTTCAGGATGATTAAAGCACTTTTTTGTAGCACTCTGAATGTTGGATATACAAGACTGTTTAGTGTAACATTTATTATTTATTTCATTTAGTGATCTAGTACTTAAGGATTATTTAATTTTCATAACAAGAGTGTTAGAAGTACTTACTTTAAATGGAGGTAGTTATGACAAATTTCGTTACGTGACTCGGTAAGAATCGTGCGTTATGTGTGTAGTTCAATTGTTGTAATTTGGCGTCACATTGCTCGAACTTTCTGAATTTTTCTCGTTGTCTTAAGTGAGTATTGTTACATCATAGCGTCTCGTAGTTTGTAGATTTATTTGTTTGTTGTTGAATTTCGCCCAAAGCTACACGAGGACCATCTGCGCTAGCCGTCCCCAGTTTAGCGGTGAAAGACTAGAGGGAAGGCTGTTAGTCATCACTACCCACCACCAACTTTTGGGCTACTCTTTTACCAACGAATAGTGTGATTGACCGTCACATTATAACGCACCCATGGCTGAAAGATTTAGTATGTTTGGTGTGACGGGGATTCGAACCCGCGACCCTCAGATTGCGAGTCGAGCGCCATAATCACGTGGCCACCTCTAATGGTCTGGTGGTTAGGGTTAGGAAGCTCAATTTTCAATCTGCGGGTCGCGGGTTATAATCCCGTTACTGAACATGCTCGCCTTTTCATCTGTGGGGGCGTTATGATATTACAGTCATTTACACTTTTCGTTGATAAAGCGTAGCTCAAGAGTTGTTGACAGAAACCTTTTGATCAAGCTTCATTTGAATACTAGAACATAATACTTTCGGTCAAGGTAGTCAATACGTTCAGCTTGTCGACTTTTAAAATGCCATGGATGTAAATAAAAACTGTCTCTTCAAGCAAACATCTGTAGTTCATGCAGCTCGTAGAAATTCATTATTATTATTAGAACTATTGAAAATTCTCCACTTCGTTTTTATCATTATGCAGAGTTTTAGTTCAAGACTTTTGTGATCATGTCAAAAAGAAAAAAAAAATTCTCTGTCCCAGAGTTAAAGAAGCTGAACACGCTTCATCAAATTAACCAACAAATATTATAATTTTAATTCTAAGATAGCTTTGATATACGGAAAAATCTGTTATCTGAGTTATTGCACAGGTCTTGAAACATAACGGTCATAAATAGAAACATCGGCTCATGTAGATACGTAGATCTTGAAAGTCGAGTTGTTCAAAACTTGAAAGTAGCGTTGATAACTGGACCAATTGTTGCAAAAGAAATATCTGCTGAAGCTTTTCGCCAGACACTAATCATAGTAGAACCGTCTGGAAGATGATCTATAGGAAATAGTACAGCTTATAAAATGAGTCAGATCAACGTAGGCCGGTAAGGTAATCACTGATTGGCATGTCCTTTAATCAATCAGGAAATGTCACAGACCTACTGAAGAGTGTGTAGATTGTATAGGAATTCTTTTTGGCGGCAAAAATCAGCGATTGGCCAGCATTTACTAGTGAACGCAAGTTGTGCTGAAAACTACACGGATAGCATGTTTGAAATTATTGTAAATGGTCGGTCGACCTTCCATCTCTCTATTTTGGAAGCCACATTTATTAAAACACATAAACCTGTTCTTTGCCGCCAAAAAACAATTCCTATACAATGTACACATCCTTCAGTAGGTCTGTAACATTTCCTGATGGACATGATCGCCTACGCTACAAAGCACGGCACTTAATGATAATGAGTTACGCTGAGAGAGACAATTTGTTTGTTTGTAATTAAGCACAAAGATACACAATGGGCTATCTGTGCTCTGCCCACCACGGATAGAGAGAGAGTCAAATCAGCAAACACAAAATGCCACATCATTGTATACTAACGTGCATAATCTAAGTCTTAGGTTTTTATCCAACAGGTTTGGGTTGTTTCACTGTAGTTAAACACAAAGTTACACAAATGGGCTATTTGTGCTGTGCCCACCACAGGTATCGAAACGCTGTTTCTAGCGTTATAAGTCTTTAGACTTACCGTTGTGCCACTGGGGGGCCTACAGGTTGAGCGTTTCATAATTTAAAGCTGAGCAATACTTTTTATTAACTTTAAAGTCAGCTTTCCTCAGGTGTCATTTCGCACTGTATTTAAACCACAAGTTTTGCACAATTAAAGACAGGATTAGTAGAGTTAGAACAATGTTAGTATCTGCATGTTATGATTATTGTTTAGGTTTTAAATCGTTGTTCTTTTTTTGAAATGGAGGCATTCGTAAGAAAACCTTTTTCCTAAAAATAAAACGTAATTATAGAAATTTAGGGTTAATAGTATTAAAAAGATTATAGCAATATAATTTATTATCACTAGCTGTGGCGCATGAACGTAGATATCGCTATTCTAGACAATGTTATATATCAGTCTCAGCTTTAGCAAGGCTTAGCTTCCACCAACTTCTGGCCAAAAACATTTTCGGAAAAGTTTTAACTGATATAATTTTTTGGTGTTTAATTCATTCTTTAACTAATGTGTTCTTTAAGTAAAGTATACGTTATTATTTTTAGTGTTTCTTTCATTAACATTATTTATTAAAATATCTATTGATTACGATTATGTTATTCGTATAAATATTTTCCATTTTTACATGGTATATTGATTTAGGACTATTCTAAATCTCCTAAGCTAGCCGAACCTCGTGAGATATTATTGGGTTTACGACGAGGGTGCCAACTGAAGAAACAATGCATTCTACTAACTACAGTAAGAACGCAAGAACAGTATATTTAATTAATTATAATTATTACTAAGCTGATTTTTATTTCTGGTATATGTAGTTAGTTTGCTTAAATCAGAAGTTAATATACAAAAAAGTCTTGTAAAGATTCAGGCTCGGGAAAATTATCACTGTAAACTAGGAACAATAGCGCCATCTATGGTTTGAGCTCTTTGAATCAAGCGACGGTATTTCCCAAGTCACGTAAACAAAGCATCATCACTACATTATTTCAATGTTTCATGTATTAGCCCTGAAGAAGCCGCAAAGGCAAAACGTCGCTTGAAATAAAAGCTTTATTATACTAATCTGGAGTGTAAAGGTAGTTTTTTATTTCTAACTTTGTTATCAAAACGTGTAAATCCCTCCAGTGCGCACTACAAGTTCTGATAGGTATTTCCCAGGTCAGTATTTACAATATGTGGCGAGTAAACAAACGAAAACGTAAAGTGTCTTGGGGTTTTTGTGGTATATAGTTTTAACTGGAAAAAATTCTTCATAAATATCACACTAAATTGGAACGTTGTTCTCGGAACTTACATCTTTATGTGTAATCTATCATGTTTTTTTCCTCATGTACACACGTGTGCTTTGTACACATTCTCAGAAACCCATAGAAAAAAACCATGAAGTCAATTGAAAAATTTTGCCACCAGAGGGAGATGATGTTGTATAAAAAGCATTTGAAGAAAATTCCTACAATTAAATCGTCTTCGTTGCTTGGACGTTGTAACTTTTATCCATTAGGTATTTGCTTTTAATTATCGTTAATTGGTTTACAATAATTTATTCGTGATAATCATACGAAATAAGTGTACAAAATTATGCAGGTATAATACCACAAATAGGTTATCCAAGTTATTTGGCATTAAAACATCGGAGTGGAAACTTGTGAAGTTTCTTTAGCTCTGGAAATACAATTGGGTAAAGAAAACGATTGTATTTGAGAAACGCTACTGGTTCGATATTTCGTATTACTAAACATTAAAAACTAAATAAAAAGGTAATGAAGAAATATCAGATAAAATTCTGCTATATGTATTGGTAAGTAGAATAAAATAACGAAAATAATAAAATGGTCACTACAAAGTCCTTTATTATTTATGAATAACAATCTATAATTATAATTTTAAAGTAATTAATAAATCCAATAAAGTTTATTTTTTTTTATCGATGTTATCTAATAGCACAAAACTGTTTATTTTTCTTTTATGAATCGCAGGAACCTTTCACAATGAGGTTTGCATCAATGCCCTTCGTGTTTTCGTTATCAGTGGTCTTAGTATTATGTCTGACCACCAACGTCGGCGAATGTGGAACCAACTGGAGAGTTTTTGGCAGCTGTATCATCAAGAAGATGGGTTTCCGAGCCATCCTAAACAGTGACGTTCGTTGCGCTGCAATTCAGATGTTTAAAAGTTTCTATAAAATGACCACTAAAAAATGTATCAACTGTGACAAGTAAGTTTTTATGTTTGTTCGTGTAAAATTACGCGAGGGTTATCTGTGCTGGCTGTCCATTACTTTCAGGTGAAAGATTAAAAATGAAGGTAACTAGACAACAACACCCACCACCAACTCTTGGCCTACTCTTATCAATAGAGGCGTCGCTAGGCACTGTCAGAGGGGGTTCGTGCCCCGAATCCCTAGCTGGTGTCTTGAAAAATCAGTATAGAAAACCATGATCTCGAGGGGAGGTGGGGGTATGGGCTCGAGCCTCGAATCTTTTAAGCACCTAGAGACGCCTCTGCTTATCAGACTAAACCGTAAAATTTGACAATCACTCTGTGAAGCGCTTTTTTACTTTTTTTTTTTTTACGGTTAACGGGACGCAAACCATGAAACCTCAGATCCACAATCAGGCACGGTAACCACTTGGCCACACTCGGTCTTCAATTGTTAAGAAAGCGGGACACATTATCACTTTCAAATGGTAAAAACACACGTTAATGTCTAAAGGTACAACATATATGGAAATGTTCACGTATTTCAATTACAGATAACCTAACCACACTACGCATACTCTCATGATTTTAGATTCAGTACTCTGCTGAGCACAGTGTAGTCAATCAGCAAACTATTTTCTAACTCTAACACACATATATATATATATATATATACACACATACACAACTAAAAATGGGTGTTGATAGTACGATGATAATCAACAACACATCAACGAGATAGCTGACTAAACGATAAATTTACGCCAGTTAAAAAACGGAAATGAGGAACATAAATTTGAGTTTTCTGACACAACCTTTGATCTCTGAAGTTCGGTTGTTCTTAACGACAACGCTACACGAAGGGACTATCTGTGCTCTGCCCACCACGAGTATCGAATCCCGTTTTTTTAGTGTTTTAAAGACCTTCCGCTTAGTCAGTGGGTGGGGTGGGGTGGGAGCTATAACATTGTAACCTGATGTCATTCATGTGTTTGAATTGAAAAATTAACAGAAAAAAGCGCATTGTTTATGGCTTCTTCAAATGGTAAAAACGCCCTTAGGGCAAATGTCTCACGCTCGGTTTTGGATATTTTAGATTAACGATAATCAAATTAATCAATAATCTTCCACGTATCAAATGCTAAATAGAACTCATAATTCCTGAACAATAAACTATATTATCAAAACCAGTAACACTTTAATGACAGGATGAGTATGTCATCAATATTTCCCTGTTATTGAGCAGGAAAGGTAAACCTAAATTTTACCGACTTTAAATATACGACAATGTAAATTTAGATTATATTGTATTTTTGTTGTCGTTAAGCATAAAGTTACACAATGGGCTATATGTGCTGTGCCAACCACGGGTATCGAAACCCGATTTTTAACGTTATAAGCCTTCAGACGTACTGCCGAGCAACTTGGGGTTCCAGGTTATGTACGTTGATATATATATGACCACGGGTATCGAAACCAGATTTTTAACGTTATAAGCCTTGGGGTTCCAGGTTATGTACGTTGATATATGATAACGTTTTATAAATTGTGAAATGTTCTCTCTTATCAAAATGTGGATTTAAAAACTGAAATTAATAAGAAAATGAAACAAAGTTTCGTTTAAATTGAATAGTAAAATAGAGTATAAATAGCAAGTGCACATTGTATATACTTTCATATTTATGAATTATATTTTATCATTTTGACAATACTTAGAGTGAATAAAACTGTTCTCTGCGTGTGTGGCTAACGAGTATAACACAGAGGTAACACCGTGAGTCAGTTTGTTTTGTTTGTTTTTTGAATTTTGCGCAAAGCTACACGAGGGCTATCTGCGCTAGCCGTCCCTAATTTAGC